TAGGTTACCACGAAAAAAATGGTAGAATGTTAAATCTTATGGAAACACACAATTTGATATGTGAAACGGATCACGAAATAACGAATAGTCACGACCCAGTAGCAGACGTAATTATAACAAAATGTATATTTAATCATATTGTCRAAAAAATGGGCCCGATACAACTATATAAATATTGTAAAACAGAATTAATTCAAATAGTGTAACTAAGGACGTCGTTCAAAATGTAGATCACACCTATAACCGGGATCCAGGGGGACGTTTATTAGTATCTGCATTTTAAATAAGAATACTTAGTTAGCAAAGGGCATGTGTGTAGACAGGAAATGGACAATGTTCCAAATTAGTTAAATTAATACCAAAACCAATAGATCACAGAGACGAGTATATTATTATATATATATAAAAAAAAAAAAGGGGGTTTACTGTAAAACACTTTTATATCAAATTAAATGACTAATATTTTAACACTAAGTATAAACAAAATATTGTAATTACTAACCCAAWTATTAATCAAATATTGTTTAATCATACCTATTATGTATTTTAAAGATTTCTGTTTAATTTTAACCTTAAACAGGAAATCTTCTTTTTGGAAGGGAGGTGTTACGTACCCTATTAATATTCAAAACATAGTGTACATTTCTACTATGAGTGGTGAAATAACTAAGTATGCAATTAATATAAAATAACATACTGAGGTCATCGTAAAAAACGTAAATAATTAAACTAAGTATAAAAGCATTGTCGCACGTATCTTCTCGGAAAAAGTCTCTGTTACTAAGAAATGATGTGAATCGACTAGAATAACCAATTACACCAGGAGACTCAAATTCTGCCTTGTGCCAGATTTCACCACCACGTACGACCACCTACTCCTACGGACACGAGCATATATAAGGAAGACCAYGACAAGAGCTCATHAGACGGTTAGGGAYATTTAAGACACTTAGAGGCAGGTCGTAAAACCACTCATTRTCATTTAAAACAATAWTTCAGAGTAAGGTCGTAACACCGCTCACCAACACCTTTATAGCATATAAACTGTATTTTTGTATCAATTGTTAATAACTTGTGAAAATAAGGACATTATTACATTGTAAACATAAGTATTTCATCTCTACGTTGATGTATGAATCGACGTTCAGTCAGGACGTAACAATAAAATAGTATATTGATTGAAAATTGCGGGATGTGGAGTGTTTAAGTCAATATATATTAGTACTGTTTTTTT